TTTTTAAAAAAAAAAAATTCAGACTGTCAGGCGCGCGCGGTGCGCACTGGTGACAGCCACGCGTGGCTGTCACCAGTGGTGGTTTTTGTGGTGGGTCCCACCATTTCTGCATTATCTCTTCATTTGCAGAACAATTCTTTTTCAATTATCTCCCCTCCACACTAGTTATTATCTCATGTAGGGAAGAATTAATGCTGAAATCTCCCCACAATATGCACAAGTGTGGATGCTCTAACAATCTATCAAGTGTGTGTGTGTGTGTATATATATATATATATATATATATATATATATATATATATATATATATATTAGTTGATGAGAGATAAAAAAAAATTGGTAGAGTTTAGGTATGAAGAAAATATAGGATAATGAAGAAAAAAATAATTTTATTGAATTTAGATAGATTTATAAAGTTTAAATAGGGAGAAAAAATAGAGTTTAAATATTGGTGCCCTCATTTAAATATATATATATATATATATATATATATATATATATATATATATATATATAAACATAATAAGCCTCAATGAAAGTTATGTCATTGATTTATGTCCCTCTTTTTGTATGCAAATAAATGTGTACATTTTAGTTTAAATGTTGTACATTCCAATGTTATTAGACAAAACTACCATTACACCGTTATAACACCGTTAATTTTTAATTCTAACTTTAATAACACATCATTATTACCATACACCTATATCTATCATATCTTTTTCTTATTTTTAATTATCATTTTATTAAAATCATTATATATTAATTTAATACTTAATTATATTTTAATTAAATTTCTATGAATGATAAATTATATATGTGTGTGTACAAAATACATATATTATTTGTATATATATAATTCAAATTATAATTTTTAATTATTTGTATTTATCAATGTTTTAATATTGGGCATGAATTTTTCGCGCATCGCGCGTACACAATACTAGTATATATATATATATATGTGGCAAAAACGACGCCATATCATAGCATAGCATATCAAACTTAACCCTAATAAGTATACACAACCCTATCTCAAAATAAAAATATCAAATGAATTATGAATCCAAGTAAAAGTCAAGGGAAACCCCACAACTCTTTCGAGTGTGAGTAAACCCTGCCTTGTTATCCTAGTCGACAAAGAAGGTAAACCAGCCTAGGTTATCCATAGCTGACCAGCTCAAACCAAGAAGGCAAAAATTCGAACTCATGACCTTATAATTACAAGTGTGGATAACTTGCCATCTTGACTGGGGTTACCCCAAGTAAAAGTCAATTATTAATTGTATAGTTTGTGTTGCAGTAACGCATTCTTTCAATTTCTACCAAAAAAATATATATATAAAACGCATTCTTTAAATTGCAATTAATTATATCAAATAATCTTCTTTAATTCTAATCGCAATCTAGCTGCCCTTAACCCCAATTTAAATTTCAACTGATATTATATTGCAGCTAGCATAAAGTAGAATAAACAATTAATAAATTAATTAAGTCAACAACCACTATGTGGGACGGCCCGTGTAAAACGTTCATAAGACTTCATTGTAATTTTATCAGTCATTATATCGGTGTGGTCAAAGCGGCGCCGTTTCTTTAAGTAAAGAAACGGTGCACCCTTAGTGTTAATGAAACGCGCATTTTTTGTATGTTAATTACCCACTGACACTACAGTATATCTAAACCGATACTGCTTCACGTATTTTTTATATTATCAAATGCAACTGCAGTTATATCAAAATGATACTATAGTTATGGTGAAATGAAACTGAATAACATTTCACATATTTGAGTGCATATTGTACAATGAAGTTATAATTATATCAAAATGATCATGTAGTTGTGTTTTAATAAAACTATAGTTTATATAAAATAAAATTAAATAACATATTCACATATTTGAGTCTATAAATATTGAATGAAACTGTAGTTATATTGAAATGAAATTGTAATTGTGTTGAACTGAAACTGCAGTGTATACAAAATGAAGTTGAATAACAGAGTTACTTTTTGCGAAAAGGTGCAGAACGGCGGGAAACGGATGCCGTTTCTTTTCATTAATCAAAACGACGTCGTTTTGATACGCGGTGCATAATCAAGTATGCACCGCGGTGCACAATATAATTTGGTCAGATTATGAGGACAATATACTCAAGTTCTCCCATTTATTGTATGTCTCATATATTGGATAAACTTAGTCTTTGAGATATTAATAATGTGTCAATCACACCTCCGTGATTATCCTTGAAGAATGGAAAATACTACATGTAATATCATATTTTACTCTCAAAACTTTTATTTCTATACATAAAATCTTGACGTAAACACTTATATTGGGATTTACATGAAAAAAGTAGTTTGCCCGCCCCATCAGGGAGTAAAATTTAAGAAGTATTATCAATGACCTTGTGATCCAATGGTACCATATTGTTCTTCTATGTGGGAGGTGAGGAGTACGTTCAAAAACATTAATGGCCCGTTTGGTTCACGGAATAGGCAGTGAATGGCATAGCATTCCCAGTAATAGGCCTATTCCTTTGTTTGGCAATCGTTATGCCTTGGACCCGTGTCCAGCATGCTTGCTGGACACGGGTAACAGTGCCGTTAGGCACTGTTATCTCCTTCTTTTTTTTTTTTTTTTTTTTTATAATTTCAGATCACTTTGTTATAGAAGTATATGTTCATAATTTTATTACTATATGTTAATAACTATACATTCATAACTCCATAACTGTACGTTCATAACTCTATAACTGTACATTCATAACTCTATAACTGTACATTCATAACGTCATAACTGTACATTCATAACTCCATAATTGTACATTCATAATTTTTGAAGCTCTATGTTCACAATTTTAGAGCTCTATGTTCATAATTTTATCACTATATGTTCATAATTGTAAGTTCATAATGTTAGAGCTCTTTGTTCATAATTCGATCAATAACTGTACATTCATAATTCCATAACTGTAGATTCATAATCTCATAACTGTAGATTCATAACTCCATAACTGTAGATTCATAACTCTATAACTGTACATTCATAATCTTCGAAGCTCTATATTCACAATTTTAAAGCTCCATGGTCATAATTTTATCACTATATATGTTCATAATTGTAAGTTCATAATGTTAGAGCTCTGTGTTCATAATTTTATAATTGCATAACTGTACATTCATAACGGCATAACTGTACATTCATAATCAAAAAAAAAAAATAACGCCGTTAACGGCAAAACGCGCGCGATTTTTTTTTTTTTTTAACTAAATGGCGCGTTTTTTTTTAAAAACGATGTCGTTTTGGGCCCGTGTCCAGGGCATAATTTGCCTTTGTTTGGTAACCATTTCTATTACCAGGAATAATATTCCTGGTAATAGCCTATTACCTCAAATAAGGTAATAGCTATTACTAGGGCCCCCCTGGTATTAGCCTATTACTGAACGCTCAAGAATAGATTTTAGAATCTATTTTATTTTTTACCCCTTTCTTTAACCTAATTTTTTTATCCTATATATAAATTTATTCTATTTCACCACCGTCGTCGCCACCACCACCACCACCACCATCGCCGTCGCAACCACCACCACCATCGCCGCCGCCACCAGAACCACCACCTAGCAGCACCACCGCCACAACCATCGCCGCCCCAACCACCACTGCCACAACCGTCACCGTCACCACCACCATCGTCGGCCCCACCACTGTCACCGCCACCACCACCACTACCACCCCAGCAGCACCACCACCGCCACCGCCACCATCACCACCACCGCCACCACCATCGCCACCACCACCACCGCCGCCGCCACCATCATCGCCACCACCATCACATATTTTTATAAGGGTATTTATGTCTTTTAAAACATATTTCATTTCTATTCCTTAAATCAATCAAATACTGTAATATAATTCCTAAAGTCTATTCCTTCCGCGAACCAAACAATAGAATACAATTCCTATTCTATTTCTTGCATATTCCATTCCTTATGGAATAGCATTCCTATTACCTCAAAATTCATTCCGTGAACCAAACGTGCTGTAAGAGTGGGTAGAAAGAACATTCTGAAATATTGAGGTTTATGGTTGGATTTCAACTATTTATACACCCCCATAAATGTCTTTTCCAAACACTTTAACTAAATCAATTACGGAGCAACTTATTAGTCAATCATTATTGTGTGGACCATGGTCCGCACAACTGTGTGAATCGTATTATCAAATAACGTATATTTAGTACACAATTAATGTACTTTTAGTATTAATAATGGCGTGCCATGCCTCAATGTTGATGGAAGCGTCAATGAGGAGGTTGCGGGCTAGGGTGGCGTGCTGAGAGACCACACAGGAAGTTGGCAAGGAGGCTTCAGCAGGTCCTGCAAAAGTAAGCAGGCCAGTGTGATTGAAACTGAAGCTATTCTTAAAGGGCTAATTTGGGCGTGGAAAAGAGGCATCCGTAAACTCCAAGTCCAGAGCGATTGCCTAGAAGCTGTGAAGTGGATTAATGGGGAATTGGAGATGAGAGGTACTACAAGGAACCTAGTCAAAGCATGCCAAAGCTGGCTACGAAAAACATGTGACATCAACATTATTCATGTGCTAAGGGAGCAAAACCAAACGGCAGATGGACTCGCTAAAATGGGCAAGAAAAATACGGGGACATGGAGAGATTTTGAGACACCTCATAGGGAAATTATGGAGACAATTGAGGAGGACAGGCTAGGCTGCTGTTGGGCTAGACATGAAGCTTGAGGAACCTCTGCTGAGGTTCTGGGGATATCTCAGCTCCCTCCTTTCTTGATAAAAAAAAAAAAAAACATTATTTGAGTATTGAAAGGTGTCATTATTTTGTATACTTTAATTTTAATATACAAATAATGTACTTTTAGTATATTAAAAATATAAATTTTGTTATGGTCTGCATAGCACTATGTAAACTATGATCTACACAATAATTTGTCCTTATTAGTTAGGTGTGTCGAACATTGACGAAAAGTAATTAATAAACAAGAATGTCATTACTGAAAGACAAAGGAGATTACATAATGAGCTCGGTACTAGTATCTCGATCACTCACCACTCTGGAGCTACACTTATTTTCCCATTCTCTTTACACACTACTAGTCTAGGTGTTGAGTCATACACTATACATGCATAACTTACCACTTTGCAAGCTAGAGTAGTGAAGTAATAGTAGTTGACAAGTTTAGATGTAGCCAACTATTTGGAATTGTTTTTGTTAATTGAGGAGGATTTTGGAGTGAAAAGGATTTCCATTTCTTCCAAAGACTTGCCCTTAGTCTCGGGACAGAAGACGAAAAAGAAGAGCCAAGCGATGACCGAAATCCCAGCAAACATGTAAAAAGCTCCTCCAATTGTGATGGTATCGGAGATTGTCAAGAAAGTCATGGAAACCGTTGCATTCATCAACCTATTCACCGCCACGCCGATGGAGGCGCCTTGGGCCCTGAGTTTCATCGGAAAAATCTCGGCACTGTACACCCAGGTGATCGGCCCAAGGCCAATGTTGAAGGACATGACAAAAGCATAAGTGGTGATGATGCTTAGTACCAATGCCCAAATGATCCTTTCGCCAGGGTGTTGGTGGACTATAGTGAGGAAAGTCCCGAGCCCAAACAGTGAGATAACCATTCCACCCACGCTGGTTAAGAGGAGCTTTCTCCTGCCCACTCTATCCACCAAGAAAGTTGCGGTGACGACGAAAATGAACTTGGTGAGACCGACTCCGACGGTGAAGAGGATCTTTTTTCTTTTATCCTCGATTCCGGCCCCCTCCACGATCTTATGGCTGTAGAGGATGACGGCCTCGATCCCGGTGGCGTGTTCGAAGAAATGAATCCCGACGGCCGCCATCAACATCCACCGCACGGTCGGGGTGGGCTTGATTAGCAGCTCATGCCACGCGCCTTTGCCTTGAGAATCTTTCTCGATCTTCACAACGTCGTCTTTGCACTTTTCGTCGATTCCGGCGATTAGTTTCATGTCCGACAACCGAGCCTCCGCTTCTTCCGCGCCGTTGGAAACCTTGTACATGATTTTCGTGGCTTCCCCGAGCCGGCCCTGCAAGATCAGCCACCGCGGCGACTCGGGCATTTTCAGGACTCCGATGGCTAAGAATAACGACGGGATTGCGGGAATCCCCAGCATCACTCTCCATCCTATCTTTAGTGGCAGTCCGGAGAAGATGAAGTTCGAGAGATATCCCAGCAATATCCCTATGCTTATCCCAAGCTCCGGGAGGCCTGTGAGGAAGCCACGCGTGGACGGAGACGACACTTCCGCGGAGTAAACCGGGCCGATCATCAGCGCGAAGCCGACGCCGATTCCCGCCGTGCATCTTCCCGCTATCAACACGCCGTAGTTTGGGCCGTAGCCCATCAGAACTGAGCCCAGCAAAAAGATGACGGCGGCCAGAACGATGGTGTAACGCCGCCCAATAGCATCGGAGGTTCTTCCCGCACAAAGTGACCCAACCAAAGCGCAGAGGTTAAGTATTCCGGCCAGAATCTCCGTTTTCCCGTTGCCGATGTGGAACTCGTCCTTCACATAGATCATTGCTCCACTCATCACACCAGTATCTGCAAGTACAAATTAAACAAAGAAGCCTTAGCAGAAATTAAAAGCTCTCATGAAATTATTAAAAAACAGTTAGTTTCTAAACAAAAAATACTGAAATAGAAATTAACAAGTTAGAAACATAAAATTTTAACATATTTATTTACTTAAAATTATATACTCCTACAAACACCATACAATAAGGACAATATATTGTCTTGGTTTGAGCCAGTCAAATTAAAACAACTCATTTACCTTCTGACTTTGTTCCTTTAATTTGTTTGTTAGATCATAAGGTGAGATTTAGTATAATAGAGGATTTTTCTTTATTCAGAAAAATAAATTAGATAAAATCAAAAGAGTAAACGATGGATTCACCATAGCCGAAGATGATTGATATCATGGAAGCAACCAGGGAACAACCCAGGGCATATTTGTTGAGCCCTCCATGGCCTTCTCCTACACCTTTCTCCATTGGATCCAATACAATCAATTCAACCAACCTCCCTCTGACTTATTAGTTTCTCTGATCTTCCTATATTCTGATGGAAATCAAGAAAACTAGTGTTACCATTCTCAATCTGAAACCATGGTATATATATATACACACAAATACAGGTAGATACAGAAGACAAAATCTATATTGCAAGAGACAAAACTGCAAAGACAAAACTGCAATATTTTCTGCATGCACAGCACCTGTGGAACCCACACGCCCTCAAGTGGACATTACACAAACCCGAACTGTAAAGATGTTTTTTCACCAGATTTACCTCAACACTTAGAATGGGTGTGAAGCATTATACACTACTTCCGTTCATACATAGAAAATTAAGGGAAAAAAACGACGTAAAATGCGTGGGATCAGAGAAGGAAAGTAGATTTTCTGGATAAGAGGAGTCCAAGTCAATTGAATGGAGCAAAATTTGCTGACTTCTGTTATTATGTGTCTTGCTTTATTTAGGAAAGCTTCTGTTATTATGTGTCTTGCTTTATTTAGGAACGCTTCTGTTATTGCAAAAATGTGTTTTATGTCACTTCCCTACGTAGAAACCTGATTTCTGGAGGCCTATTCAATAAGGTTGGAATAAAAATGGTTTTTGAGTCTGACTGTCAGGTTCTGACTCACTGTGGAAAATATCTTGGAAATGGATATTTGTGTGGAGGTCTTTTTTGTGTTAGATGCTTCTGTAGCTAGAAATTATATTGCTTTAGATGGTTCAACTACTTGTGATTTCATTTCAAACAATGCTAATAATAAAGCTTCATCTTCTGCTTACATAGTTGTTCGTTAAATCTCTGGCATAATAGATTAGGACATGTTGGTACAAAGTGCTTAAATAGACTAAAAAACATGAATATGTTGCCAAAATTGTCTAATGATGCATGCACACAATGTGAAATTTGCGTTGAAGCTAAGTTTGCTAGAAGTTCGTTCTCAAAAGTGAATAATCGAACATCATCTATTTTAGAACTAATTCACACCGATTTAGCAGACTTCAAAACCACTGAAAGTAGAGGTGGAAAATGTTACTACATTACGTTTATTGATGACTTTTCACGTTTCACAAAATTTTATTTATTGAGATCAAAAGACGAAGCCGAACATAAATTTGTGGTTTTTAAAAATGAAGTAGAAAACCAGTTAGACAAAAAGATTAAAAGGCTTCGATCCGATAGAAGAGGAGAATATGAATCAAAAACTCTTAAAATTCTGTCTGAAAATTCTGGCATTATTCATGAAGTAACAACACCGTATACTCCCCAACAAAATGGCGTTGCTGAGAGGAAAAATAGAACTCTCAAAGAGATGATTAATGCAATGCTGATTACTTCAGGTGCTCCGGACTCTTTGTGGGGGGAAGCTACTCTAACAACAAATCACATTTTGAATAGAGTACCACACAAAGGGTTTGAGAAAACCCCCTATGAACTGTGGAAGGGGCATGCCCCTAACCTTAATTACTTTAGGGTGTAGGGCTACTTAGCAAAAGTAGGACTACCATCCTTCAAGAGGCCCAACCTGGGACCTAAAACTCTGGATGCCATTTTTGTTGGGTATGCTGAAAACAGTGCTGCATATAGATTCATGTACTTAGAAAATCATGCAATGTGTGAATCTAGAGATGCCATTTTCTTTGAAACAATTTTTCCTATGAAAAAAGGCTTATACTTCACCTGATGTTAGCTTACACCAAAATTCTCCTACTATATTTCCTAGTTTCACAAGTAACTTTGAGGAGCCTAGAAGAAGTAAAAGTCCTAGAATAGAGAAAAACTTTGGTTCTGATTTCATAACATACATGTCAGAATTGAAAGACTTGAGTTAAATTTGTGATCAATTCATATGTCAATTAGTCCTAGAAGAAGAACTAAAAACCTTTCAAGACGCTATGTGCTCGGTAGATTCCACATTGTGGAAAGAAGTTGTTAAAAGTGAATTAGACTATATACAGTCAAATCACACATGGGAATTGGTTAATCTACCAAAGGGCTGTAAACCTATTGGTTGTACATGGATCTTTAAAAGGAAATTAAGACCAGATGGTTCGATTGAAAGGTTCAAGGCCAGGCTAGTGGCCAAAGACTACACTCAAAGATTCGGTGAGGACTAATTTTATACATACTCAACAGTAACAAAGATAGCAACCATTTGTGTTCTATTTGCTTTGGCATCTTCACACAGGTTGACAGTTCACCAAATAGATGTAAAAACCGCATTTCTCAATGGTGAACTAGACGAAGAAATCTATATGGAGCAACCTCCCGGATGCGTGGATCCAGGTCAAGAAGGGAAAATATGCAGACTCAAAAGATCTCTATATGGCTTGAAACAAGCTCCTAAGCAGTGGTATGAGAAATTTCATAAAACCTTATTAGATTTGAGTTATACAACTAACCGGTCAGATGCCTGCTTATATACTAATGAGATAAAGTCTAGCATTGTGATTATATGTCTTTATGTAGATGATATGTTAATCTTTATCTCTAATGTCGAGGCTATAAAAGATACTAAAAGAACTCTATGTGACAATTTTGACATGAAAGATCTAGGGGAAGCCGATGTAATACTTGGGATAAAAGTCACAAAAACTGAGAGAGGTTACCTTTTATCTCAAAGTCATTATACGGAGAAACTTCTGAAGAAGTTTGCAAGTTATGAGGTAACTCCGGCCAAGACTCCTTTCGATCCTAGTGTAAAATTGTCAAAAAACGTAGAGGCTAGTGTGTCACAAGAAGAATATGCAAAAATAATCAGAAGTCTGATGTTTCTCATGAACTATACTAGACCCGACATTGCATACGCAGTGAACAAACTCAGTCGCTACACACACAACCCTAGTGCTCCACATTGGGATGCACTGAAACGGGTACTATGATATCTAAGAGGCACAGTGGACTGGGGCCTTGATTACAAAGGGTCTCCAGCCGTGCTAGAAAGGTATTGTGATGCGAATTGAGTAAACGACAGCGATGATGCAAGCTCAACTAGTGGATATGTATTCACTATGTGTGGAGTCAACCAAACAATCGTGCATTGCCAGATCAACTATGGAAGCTGGCAAGCCAAGAAGCAGAGTGGCTAAGAAACCTACTGGCAGACGTGCCATTGTGGGGGTGTCCAGCACTTGTTGTTCCTATACATTGTGATTAGCAAAGTGCCATCTGTGTTGCGCAAAATAGTGTCTATAATGGCAAAAGAAGACACATAAGAGTCAGGCATGAGTCTGTATGACAGTTGATACTAAATGGGATAATCACAATGGAGTTTGTGAGATCTGAAAAGAATATTGCAGATCCTTTCACAAAATGTCTAAATCGGAAGACCATCCTTGATACTTCAAGGAAGATGAGTTTGAAACCCAATGAGGTAAGAAATTCGTGATGGACCACCTATGTGGGCAAACGAAATCACGGAAAGACTTACACCAAAGGACTGTTGAGAACAGTGCCAAATCTGTAGCCTACTATGGGTGGTTTATGTTGAGATAGACTTGACAGATTAAAAGTCTATATAGAGATAGACTGAACAGGAAATTTTATAGAGTTAATGAGTGCAATTAAGTTCAAAACTCGACTAACTAATGAGTTCAAGATCCAATCCACTACGTGTTAGTTCAAGTATCATACACTGATATTGAAATTCTATCTCAGAATAAAAATATCAAATGAATTATGAATCCAAGTAAAAATCTATTATTAATTGTATAGTTTGTGTTGCAGTAACGCATTCTTTCAATTTCTACCAGAAAAAAAAAAAAAAAAAAAAAAAAAAAAAACGCATTCTTTAAATTGCAATTAATTATATCAAATAATCTTCTTCAATTCTAATCGCAATTTAGTTACCCATAAGGCCATAACCCCAATTTAAATTTCAACTGATATTATATTACAGCTAGCATAAAGTAGAATAAACAATTAATAAATTAATAAAGTCAACAACCACTATGTGGGACGGCCCGTGTAAAACGTTCGTAAGACTTCATTTCAATTTTAGGCAAATTATGATGTGCATCCGTATGCATCATGCAAAAACGACATCGTTTTGCATCAAAACGCGCGTTCTACTTAACAAAAAATCAGTTTCGATTACCAACAACATCATTATGTTATTCATTTTTTACTTTTTTAGTTCATTCATTCTAGATTTTTAGTTATGAAATTCTGAATGTATAGTTATACAATTCTGAATGTATAGTTATGCAATTCTGGATGTGTAGTTATGAAGTTATGGATGTGTAGTTATGTAATTCTGGATTTATAGTTATGAAGTTATGGATGTGTAGTTATACAATTCTGGATGTATAGTTATGAAGTTATGAATGTATATTTATGCAATTCTGGATTTATAGTTATGAATTATGGATGTGATGAAATTATGGATGTGTAGCTATGCAATTCTGAATTTTTTTAATTTTTTTTTTTTAAAGTTAGACGTCAAAACGACGTCGTTTTTGCATTCGGATGCACCATGTATGGTACATACAGATGCACAACATAACGATTTTCAATTTTATTGGTCAGGTTACGAAGACAATATACTCAAGTTCTCCCATTTATTGTCTGTCTCATATATTAGATAAACTTAGTCTTCTGAGATATTTTTTTGGTAGAAGGAAGGGGCCTAAGGCCCTAAGATATTAATAATGTGTTAATCACACCTATGTGATTATCCTTGAAGAAAGGAAAATACTACATGTACTATCATATTTTACTCTCAACTTTTATTCTTACCCATAAAATCTTGATGTAAACACTTATATTAGGTGGTCTAATGGTATCCGGGTTGGACTTCCATTTGGAAAATTGTGAGTTCGAGCCTCAGGTGTATATTACATTGTGAGGAGTTCAAAAACATTAAAGGGGCGTTTGGTTCACAAAATGTTAGATTTCTTTGTTTGGAAAGTAACATAACCTAAACCAAACGCCCCCTAAGAGTTGGGGGGCGTTTGGTTCACAAAATGTAATGTTAGATTTCTGTGTTTGGAAAGTAACATAACCTGAACCAAACGCCCCCTAAGAGTTGGTAGAAAAAACATTTTGAAGGGCAGGGGCTGCTCTACAAGTAGGGTTCACGGGTGGGAGAAGGGTGGAAAGTAACATAACCTGAACCAAACGCCCCCTAAGAGTTGGTAGAAAGAAGGGTGGAAAGTAACATAACCTGAACCAAACGCCCCCTAAGAGTTGGTAGAAAGAAGGGTGGAAAGTAACATAACCTGAACCAAACGCCCCCTAA